AACCCGCAGATGTTTCCCAGAGGAAGGCTCAGACCAGGAGCCTGACATAGATGCCCTGAATTGCTCCCAAAGTGCTGTCTGGGGGAAGCCAGGGTGCATCATCCCTCCAGGGACGTTGTTCTCTCTGCAGTATATCAAGATAGTCACTTTACATGGCTATCTTGATAAATGCCAAAAAGCTGAAGCTCCCGGTCACCCATGGCTTGCCTATATGGCACTGCACAGACAGTAAAAGGGGATAATCTGGAAAGGCAAGAAGGACACACAGGTGAGGAAGACTACTTTTACCCTGACTTAGAGGTGGGAATCCCAGGCAATGCCTTGTGAGTTAGCCGACATAAAGCAAACACCCTTGTGCAGTGCTCCCACAGCCCGACCTGACAGGACTACCATTCCCCCATTTACAGACCAAATTGATTAAATTTGTGGTGCAGGCAGAGAATTTCCATTGCTTGCTCTCCTGTCCAGTGTGTACAACCAGCCATGGAGGAGGGTCCTGTTTCTCAAGATAACACAAAAATAATAATGATCCATACAGTTGTTTACCAAGCTTGTAGAAAGAGCAATTGTCATAGCAGCACTACCACACTCAGATGTCCTACTGCCCAAAGAAAGTCACAGATATCACATCCTGATCACACTGAGGAAATGCATCAGCATTTAATATTTTTACTCTTATTTTAGTGCTCCCCAAGTCACGTAAGATGTCTCCTGAGCCATATGAAAAAAACGTTCCCTACTCACAAGGAGTGCACAAATCTAGTTTTAGACCCAATGCCATGACAGAGGACATGAAACAGCTCAGGACAATAGGGAGGAAAGCAACATGGTGGCTTTTATCCTGTGCTCCCCCTCGGTCCTTTCTGTTTTTGCAGCTTGAGTTAAAGATCACATAGCACAACAGCACAAGGGTCTCAGGCCATGGGGACCTCTGGTGGCACTGGGGATACCGGGCTGCCTTTTTCAAACCCTGAAGTGGCAGGGATTGCCTAAATGTTCATCGTGGAATGGATGCCAAAAGCCCCATTTGTTTGCCAAAAAGTTACCAAAACTGCAAGTCCTCCCCACCCCCAAAGTCTGCAACACAGTTTTTGTCTCAGTCAAGACAAAGATCTGTAGCATTCTTAACATACGAAAGCTGCATAAATAAAGCTAAAAGAAAACCCAAAACCTGAACATGGTACAAAACAAGCCCCTCACAGGATGTTGAGCCCTATCTACTACATTTAATTCAGCAAGACCTCCGTATGGTGCATCCCAGCGACAGTCTGCTTTGAGATGCTGGTTTGGATACACCAGCACTGCTTTGCTGGAGCTGAGGGAAATGGGCTGCCCCAGCAGTAGTGCCCCATCCATGCATGGTACCTTACTGCACGGTCCTGCAGTGCCTCAGGGTCTCCCAGACACCTCTGCACTGCCCACCTGCCACACAACACCTTTCCCTATCAGCTTTTGCAGATCCTTTCCAGTATTTGCCATCCTCTCAATTCACTGGCATGTCCCCACTCCATGCCACCATCCATCCTCCAGCATAAAGCCCCTTATGCTATAACAGGCCTTTCTTCTTCATCACAGCAGTCTCTTGGTACAGGTTGACCTCTGGATCCAGTAGCCAACCTTCTCCACAGCTCTTTCAGGGCCTGTGCCTGCACCTGGCAACATGCCCCCTCAGACGTGGCCCATCCACATGCCTCCATAGACCTTCCCCAAAAGATTCTTACAGCTTACAGGGTATCTGTGTGCCCCGTAGTTTCCCTCACCATCTCCCTGATGTATTTTCCATTGAGGTGCGGGAGAGAAAGGCTGCAGACCTGATTCAGCATCCCAAGGGCTCTCCAGCACTCAGGGACACAGGGCAGACCCGCCCAGGGGGTGGTAAAGACTCCTGGGTCTGGCAGAAGAGTGGAGAAGGGAAAGGGACACCATGAGTTTGTTAAGGAAGGCCCTTCCTTACCAAGAGACAGCTGCTAAATGCCACACTCCTGGAATGCCAAAGCTCCTAACTGTCATTCAGGACAAACACAGGCCCTATTTATGGGAAAGGCTCTCTGAGCTAATCCTCAAAAGACAGCACCTCCCAGCTCCGTGCCATGTAGAAACCACTCAGGCTACAGGGAAAAGGGAACATTATCTCCTGACCTATCCTGCACAAGTAATGATGGCAACTAATGAGAAGCCATTGCTAGCCCAGCCAGGCCCCATGATGCAGAAAGTCAAGCAACATCAAGAGGGTCCTTCCCCACAAAGGTTTTCAAGAAGACTTTGTGTCACCAGCAACACCCACTTCACCAAACAGCACAATGTCTTTGTGTCAGTCTCTGAACAGACTGATTTGCCCAAGCATCCAGACAACTAACCTACAAAAAACAACACAGGTAGCTAAAGGAGAAACCCCAATGTTATCATCTTCAAATCTGAGTGCAAAATGAACTTGTCTTGCCCATCTTCAGCTCAGAGCAGCAAGTATATTTTGAAAACAAACTCTACCCCACCCACCTGTAAAGAAGAAAAAAAAAAGTCACCAAAACAATACTTCGAATACAGTATTCTCCCTCTGAGGAAGAAATGAACAGCATGTGATGTGTAATAACATCCTTTAGTGCACATCATACAGAGAAACAACAGCTCTGGTAAGGGCACAGTAAAAGCTGCTGCCACCATCACTCTATGCCATTGGCAAGGGCACCACCTATTGTTGAGCTACCCGATGCATTCCACCAGCAGACAAAACCTTTAATTGTACTTTAATGATTTGGGCTGAAAATTTGTTTGCCTCAAGCAATATTTTTATTTTACCACACTTCAATTTTCAGCTTTAAAGTTCAAATAATTTCCATAAGTAAGGACAGACTAAAATATTCCACTTCTCATAATTAAATAGGGAGAAGGACTCAGGAAATGCCAGAGTGCTGTTGAGGAGAAAACTCCCAGCTGCAAGCAGAGAGGAGCTCGGAGCTAGCCCAGGACACAGACAAAATAAGGGCATGAACTGAAACAGAAGCTGGTGAATGAGAACAGTCTGTTTTAGCAAGGGTAGGAGTCAAGCTGTGTCTCCACGTTGAACTGCTGTACTGCCCCCAAAGAGAAGGCAAGTCTAGTAGCAGTACCTCCACTTTAAAACACAGTTTGAGAGACTAATCCCCAAGCTGGACCTTGAGCCACTGCCAGAGCAGGGAGTCCTGTAAGTAAGGAGCACACAGTCAACCAGACCTTCACCGATTCTGTGGTCTAGAAGCTGTGGCTCAGAATCAGCCGTGTCAAATCTAAGCCAGCATCTGCGAAGCTTTCATGTGTTCCCAAAACCTGTTTGCCCTGCTCTCTTGAACAGCTTATTAGTTAGGGCTTTGCTGTGCAAATGCACAAACCTGGCTTGTTTCTGCAGTCTATCCAAGCTACAAGGCAATGAAGTCATAGGAATGACTCTGCAGGAGTTAACTCGGGTCGAAGCCAGTTGTCCTCAACCTGAGCTAATAAAATAGGCTGGACTCTAGCCAGCACTTTGCTCTCAGGTGTCTTTCCACAATTCCAGGAACATGACACAGGAATATCTGCACTTGAGCTGCACAGAGCAGGCTTGGGAAAAGCCAGGCTTACTAGTTCTGAACCCACAATGATATAGCCATTGTGCTTCCTCAGGATCTGACCTGTCACTGCCTCTGACATAAGGTGTCTTGCTAAATGAGGTCTATCCAGAACACTTCCATCCCCCAAAGTCTCATCTTTACAGTGGTCATACCTGCCCCTCCCCTTGACATACACCACTGCCCTCTCCCACAAAATAAGCCAGGCCTGAACAGCATCTCTTCAGCTACTTCAGGCCAAAAAAAAAAATCCAAACCCATGACCCCCATTTTCAGTAATGTGAGCATTCAGCTTCCACTCTCAACACTTAAAATCAGACCACAAATCTGTTCCTTTTTACGCCTGCAGATGATTGCTTCATCTCCCTACCGATGGTATCCTGAAGTCAAGGCAAGTGGCTTTCATGCAAAACTCCAAGACTACTTATCAATGATCTAGATGAGAGGACTGAGTGCTCCCTCAGTAAGTTTGCAGACGACACCAAGTTGGGCGGCAGTGTTGATCTGCTTGAGGGTAGGAAGGCTCTGCAGAGGGACCTGGACAGGCTGGATCGATGGGCCGAGGCCAACTGTATGAGGTTCAACAAGGCCAAGTGCCGGGTCCTGCACTTGGGTCACAACAACCCCATGCAGCGCTACAGGCTTGGGGAAGAGTGGCTGGAAAGCTGCCCAGAGGAAAAGGACCTGGGGGTGTTGGTTGACAGCCGGCTGAACATGAGCCGGCAGTGTGCCCAGGCGGCCAAGAAGACCAATGGCATCCTGGCCTGTATCAGAAATAGTGTGGCCAGCAGGAGTAGGGAAGTGATCGTGCCCCTGTACTCGGCACTGGTGAGGCCGCACCTCGAATACTGTGTTCAGTTTTGGGCCCCTCACTACAAGAAGGATGTTGAGATGTTGGAACGTGTCCAGAGAAGGGCAACGAGGCTGGTGAGGGGCCTGGAGAACAAGTCTTATGAGGAGCGGCTGAGGGAGCTGGGGTTGTTTAGCCTGGAGAAAAGGAGGCTGAGGGGAGACCTCATTGCTCTCTACAACTACCTGAAAGGAGGCTGTAGCGAGGTGGGTGTCGGTCTCTTCTCCCAAGTAAGTAGCGATAGGACGAGAGGAAATGGCCTCAAGTTGCGCCAGGGGAGGTTTAGATTGGACATGAGGAAAAATGTCTTTACTGAAAGAGTGGTTAAACATTGGAACAGGCTGCCCAGGGAAGTGGTTGAGTCACCATCCCTGGAGGTATTTAAAAGACGTGTAGATGAGGCGCTTAGGGACATGGTTTAGTGGGCATGGTGGTGGTGGGTTGATGGTTGGACTTGATGATCTTAGAGGTCTTTTCCAACCTTAATGATTGTATGATCCTATACTATTTGACAAAATTTGATACAAGCTGAAATGTAGCCTTTGAAGGAAAGACAGAAGGCTATACTTGTGGCAAAAATCCTTTATTAAACTACATTTTGTAAATTCCTTTTCACATTAGAAATTCTAAATGCAAATTACAAAATTGTATTTCAGTAAAAAATGAAAGTTATAGTTAACAGCAAAATTACAACTTTATACATATACAAAAATCATTTTTTCTTTTACTTTAAAAATAGACATTGATATCTTCCAATGTACTGGTCCTAACAGCTTTTACAACTGGTAGCTGCAATACTAGGTCTTTTCACAGGCATATTCACATATAAGTCATTTAATCCTCTGCACAGTTTATTTAGCTGAAATAGCATGAACAGTTGGGCTTTGGTTGGGTTTTGTGTGGTTGGTTGTTGTTTTTTTTTTTTAAGAGACCATGATACTTGGGAATTGTGGTAAGCCAATGAACTCTTCTTTGTTACAGTGTTCATACTCTATCATCTCCTTAGCTCTGCAGAGGACAATATTATTCTGGAAATGTGAATTGCATCTGAAGACATAACCATCAGTAATGTAAAGTCTATGTATAATTTCTCATATTACATTTATGATGATCCTTCTTTGCCATTAACCAACAATGAAATCATTCTCTTGTCTACCCACCATATTATGTGGCAAGATTAAATAACAAATTGGTTACATTTCACCTCAAGTAAAACCTTCTAGAATGCACATTCTGCTAAGCATATGTAAAGATCTTCCCTGACACTGTACACATTCACAACAGTGATGTTCCAGATGTTCTAGTTCTAGTGATGTTCTAGGTTATGCCTAGAGCATCTGGACATTGTTTAAATGGGGATTCCCAAGTCACAATGGTTTCCAACAGCCACAAAAAATGCCAGTTAAATTTTGCCTGAGGTGTCCTTCAACAGGCCTACAAAAACATTAAGTTTAATTAAAATTGTACTACATACTATTAAAAGCAAAAGCCAAAGTCATTAAAGTATTATCAAGGTATCTTGAAATATTTTTTTAAAAAAATCACTTTTGCCCTACTACTTTCACAATCAACTGAAATGTATTTTTGAACACTCAACATTACTTAGGAAAACAACTTTCTTCATTGCACCTCTGGGCCTTTTTTTTTTCCTCTTTACTGTAAGATTACTCAACAATGCTAACACACGCATTAAAATTTGTATTAAAAAAAAAAGAGATCATTTTCCTAAATTAAAAATTGGGATAAACGTTAAAATGTTTTGTAAAAAAGAAACCAGAAGTCACATATTAAAGGCTACCAGTCATCACAACCACATGCTGTTGAAGAACAGAATAAAAAGTGGTACACAAAATAGGTATTTTAACAGTCGCACATTATTTCAGAGTGCTGGTGGCAATACTGCTAAGTGCTACTTTAATCAAAAGTATAAGATGATACAGAATTTACATGATGCCTCAAGGATTCTCACTGATGTAACTGCAGAAGACATCAGAAAACCTGGAAGTTCTAAAATGTAACCTACTTTGAAATATCGTTTTGAAACAATTATATAATTCATCCCACTATACATTATAAAAACAGTCAAAGAAATACAAGAAGTCCAGTGGGTTTTTTCTGACAGTTTGGCAAGTAGCTGAAGGCATGGAGATCCTTACTAATAAAAGTCTACTTTCTTTCTCTCTGTGCACTGATCTTCTGCTCCATTCTGTATCCAGCTCAGCACAGCTTCTAAGCACGTGCTTAAGCTCCTATGGAAGAAAAAGGCTGAGCTCATCATATTTTCTCTGAGTTGGAACTGCAATGCCTCACCCTGAGCTGCTGAAGCTGATGAAGGCTCTGTCACTAACTTCAATAAAGGCAAGACTGGTTCTGCCCGTGTTACAATTTTAAACCATCGTCTTCCATCAAAGTTCAGCCTGTAATCAAACAATTTATACTAGGTGAATGATCAACCTATAACCAGATAGGGTATTCGGAGTACCTTAGTGAACCTCCACCTGTACCCAAAAGGGCAACGGAGAGAGGGAGAAGTACTCCAAATTGCTCTTAAGCTACGTACTCCTCTGCTGACTTCGACAGACTGGAGAAAACAAACTCTCCTAGTAAGGGGTGGAGCTGAGGTTTTGCCCTGAACATTTTTTATGCATTCATCCAAACAGGACTAAGAGATGAAAAAATAATATGGAGGGACATTGAAGCTCAGTGGGAACGGCTTCTTTTCTAAGAGTCCTAACCCCTTCCAGAGACTGTTTATGCACTTTTCATTCTTTAATCTCTTTTGTCCCCTTGATCTTGCTTTTTTAGCTTGCAGTGGTGATTTTGAAAGAGGCTCAGGAAGTGGCGACTTCAAGAATACTGCTGAGCACACTGGTTAGAGCATTTTCTGGGGAAGTAAGTCAAGCGCAATCGTTGTCCCCTTGCTAGGCCAGAAGAATGTAAAAAGCTGTGTTTCTCATCTCCAAGGTAAACGTGTCAACAACTAGATTATGATAAACAGATGAGCAAAACCACCACTTTTTCTGCTCATCTTTTGAGCTGAAATCTAAGCTGTCTTTGTCCATGTCGGGAATGGTGTGAACATGCTGAGTGAATCAGGCCCCCTCCCAAAACAACCAGAAGTTTTGGAACTTCCCTGTTTACAAGCACATCGCTGTAAGGCTTGGCACCCAGCAGCTCAACACGCAACACTTCTGAGCATACACTGGGACTTTTGCTGGACAACTCAGCCACCCGGGCCAACCAACAGGGACTATGTTTTAAAGAGCTGCCCCTCCATTCGTTATAAACAGTACCACTAAGGAAAACCTGTTCAGGAGCAGAAAGAAGTTCCTTGGTCCAAAAGAAAGATCCTAGCTCCGCTGAGGCAATTCTAGCATCTGCAACCCTGGACAGCTGACGGTCTGAACTGCTGTCTCGAGTCCAAGTGCCTAAATGACCTCTCAGTCCATTTTAGGCACTGTTGCAGAGGATGGAGCATGGGCTTCACCGCACGGGACATCGTGTGGTGGCAGAAACAGCTCTGCTAGTGCTGTTTGGGGATCACAGATCTTTTGTATTTCACCCACTGGTTACCAGAGCAGCCCAGAAAGAAAAAGAGAAGGGACACAATTCAGATGAACTAAGAACCCACAAAAAAATATAAAACTTGTTATGACAGTCTATTATTCCAGTAAGAGTCCCTTTGATTAAATATTATTCAAGCTATTCTTCCACTTGAAATCACCATGAAAAGATTATCTGTTGAAGCATGACAAACTCATTTTGTCTACTGTACATTGCATTCACTGTATTATTACAGTAAATATGGGTATTGAGGAAACGTGTCTTTCAGTTTGTCAGCAACTTATACAGACACATTTTCAAGTGAAACCTATTTCTGTGTACAACTTTTCTCACAGAAGTTCCTTGCTTATTACTACCCATGCACACAAATGGCAGAACCTGCACACACATATGGATTCATACACAAATTCTATGTGCATGTAGTTCCTGGATAAAATTTACTGCAAAAGTGGTTTAAAATGAAAAAACCCTCCCATTAATCTTTAACCTATTAATATTATTCCTAATACACAACTCATACCTGTTCTGCAAAAGCCTTACAACAAAAATTAAATGGTTTCTAGTAAAAAATTCATATGCCTTTCAAGAGGCAAAGATGTAATTAAAAGTAGTAATGCATTCTAGAAGACATTTATATTAAAAAAATGTTCTGAATGCTTACTGGAAACACTTGTCAAAGTGCAGGTGTTTATGTTTAATTTGGGGGGGGGGGTTTGGGTTTTTTTTGTTGTTGTTTTGGTTTTGTTACACAGGTATTACTAGATGCTGATGGAACACCACCACCACCAGAATAACTTTTGTACTCCCAGACTTTCCAGTTAGGCAATTACTACTATAGTATTAGCATTCACTTTGATGTTAAAAATACATTTAAAATGTCTCACAGACAATCATATTTTCTACAAGGAAATCACCAAATTTAATACACAGAATGAAGACACGTCACAGACACCTGCAAAGTGAAACAGTACTCAATTTGCTCCATTTAAAAAGCCATAAAGGAAGAAACACTTTTAATCCAGTAGATGTTGAAAAAAGTAAGGGCATTTCCTGCAAAATTATTAGCTATGTGTAAGTAGAGATTGAACTACAGTGTTGTATTTTTCCCTTTAACAGATCACAGTAAATCTGCAAAATTACCAAAAACACAACTGGTCTTAATACACAGTCCTTTATATGCAACTTCCATCAATATCAGGGGAAGTTTAGAATGGAATAAGGACAACAGAACTGGTCAACCCATCACAAAATAACCACTAAAAGGACTACATCCGACTTTTGAAGAAACCTAGAAACATTTAGCACTCAGCTGTAACTGGATTTGAAATATCAGCAGCTGCCGAGTTTCCACCTCCCCTGTGGTCTTCTGAAGGGTTTAGCACAAAGTTCTGAATCACAGAATAACTTTGTACAAGGTACTATGTCTCTGTGTTTTAAAAGCACAGAATCCACAGCAATTAAAATGTGTCAGGGTCAAAAGACAGACTGGGTATGCTGAGAAGACAGTTATATTTAAAAATTGTACCTTAACTTCCCTTTAAAACTTCATATACTGCTCAGCAGAATTCTTAATCTGCATTTCTGAGACTTCAAATCCTGTGTCTTCTTTTTGCAGGTTCAAAAAAGGATCCATTCCACACAAGAATTTTCTTGGAAACATACTGACAAAACCACTTGCTGTAAATTGAGACCATTTCTAATAAAATATCCGCCCTTTAAAACAGATTACAAAATACTATTGCAGTTGTTAAAAAAGTTTTTAGCTGTAACCTGACACCTCAGTTTCTATATTCCTCTTCTCTTCTTGACAACCCTTCAATTCAGCATGACTTTCAGGCAGCCTGGTTTTATTTCTGTGAACCTGTGAAACGAGAAAAGATGAAGCTTCAACATGAAAGCTATGTGCAATGCCATCTCCTTCAGCCCTCATCAAACATATGGAAAGTGATAAGATTCTCAGTCAAGTATGTGTGCATGTGAGAGGCAGGAAATCAGCATCATGTCCTCTGGATGTGACAGTGAAGGAGGATTTTACAGGGTCTGGAGAGGTGAAGAGCTGGAAACAGCAGGAACTAAGAGGAAGATTAAAAAAAAAAAAAAAGCTGCCCAATATTCTTGGTTATATTCATTCTGCTCCTCTTTTCCTGCTCCCCTTTCATTCCCTCTTCTTTCGAAACAGATTTTCTCCCTCGTCTTCTGTAGAAAGTAAGAAGGAAATGGGAAGGGAAGTCTTTGCTATTTCTGAGTCCCACCTTCACAGTCACCTTCATACACTCCTGTAAAGAAAAAGCAGCAAACACACTGATGCCAGCCCAGACTTGCTAGATTGCTGTCCCACGTAAGAAGCTGAGAACTAAAGCAGGTATTGGAGATCAATAAAAAGCACGATTAACAACTTCTTGCAGTAAAGCTAGCAACCTTGAATGGAAATATGTAATTAAACTATGTTAGGTAAGTTTAATTTATAGTGTTTTAATCTATCTCAGATGAAAGGACCTACCATTTAATCGGTGCCCTGTATAAGATGGTTTTGTGTCACACAATTGCATTGGATTTATAAAACAGCAGACCTACTTTAATCTGAAACAGCAGACCTGCCTTAATCTGTTTAGGAGTTTAACAGTATTCTAAAACTAACTTCAATTTTCAGTTAGTCAAATGTGGGTTAAGAAAAAAAAATGTATCAGTAACAAAAATCTAAACTCACCTGAAGTTGTGGCTTGTGAGGTATCTGATAGCTGCTGGTCTGATGCGAGCAACTCCTCCCTGACTATGGCTTCCTCTTCCCGTGATAACACAGAGATATGGTTTACCACCACTCTGCTGGTACTCTGTAACAGCAGGGATTGTAACGGTTAAAATTTTCCCTCAGCAGAGACTTGGCGTTCAGTATAACCTTTCCATCCGTACTTCTGAAAACTCTCACTAGTGATTTAGAACTTCGCTTTCCCATGCTGGCTATGCATCTTTTACAGAAACATAGCCGTTTTTCCCCTTTTCTGAAAAAGATATTCTGAAAAAATACAGTCAAGCTTTTTAAATCTAGATTGCTTGCAATATGCATGTTGTGATCATCACAAAATCCTTCTAATTTCATAGCAGCTTTACTGTTTCTATCATCTAATCTTCACTTGGAATTTACATCCTGTGATGTAAACTAAAATTGCAAAATTAAAAGAGGTGGGTGTAATTTAGTTTAAGTGACACTTCTCTATTGTTTCACGTTTTATCTTAAATTAATGCGAATAAAGAAATAACATTTTATTGGATAAAGAAAGGAAGAAGGAGGAAAATATAAATCCACACAGTTTTTGACATTTAAGTCACACTTATTTGAACTAATTTCTGCTACGTCAGAGCATGTGAATCAACAGATCAACACATCACATGAGCTTTATTAGGGCACCTAGCCCTGATAACAAAAGAAATTGCTCTTCTCCCAGAGATCACAGCAACGTAAATTGATGAAGAGTTTGAAAAAGAGGAAAAACATAAATTAAACGGGATTCTCACAAAGCCAAGATTTGCCAGTTCAAGATTATCAGTTCACATGACATTTTTCCTCAACTACCCTCCCTCTTTCTCTTGCTTAACTTTATTTAGGTTTTATATTAGTTTACGGTTAATTCTGCCAGCACTAAGTGCCCCGTATTGATCCCTTTCCCACGTATGCACACTGAAATGAACTTTTTTTTAGATTTAGGTGAATGGACTGAATGGAGAGCCCCTACCATCATTCCAGGACTCCTGATGTAAGTGCAGCTGAGGAAATTTAGCTCTAAAAAGCATTAGGTTACAGCTTGAAGTATACAAATGTCATTTTAGGAATAGCACAAGATAATGCAATTTAATTATCTCTGATGTATATTGAAAGAAAAGGATTATCGAAGGTCCCACTGAACACTTTGGTTTCTCCTGTGTGGAGTAGCTGTTTCAAAATATTAGGTTTGTGCAGTGGTACCTTGTCTAAGAAATATTTCTTGTAAAAGCATTCCCAGTGTGCTTAAATATATAAGGCAAACTAATAATGCAGAAAATGTATCTTTTTAGAGCAAGAACACTCATGAAGTACTTGAGCACTTCACTGGGAGAAAAAACAAGCCCTCAAGGAAAACTGCACAAAATGACATTTATGGACGCAGCACTATTCTGATCTCAAGAGATCCTGCTCACAAATCAATACGGAAGTTACTGAAAGATAGCTCAAATCACACACTTTCATGTAAAAGTTGAAGACAATATAATCATTGTGGTTAGAATTCCAACATAATGATTTTTCTTTAAAGATTAAAACAACAACATAGTTCTGACAAAGCAATGCAAAGATGACACAAATGTTTGCATTACCACCTCTGTTAAAAATGCCAGGAAGGATAGATCAAGTCTTCAATAGAAAAATAAAAGTAAAGGATAAAACAAAAAGAAAAGGAAGACTTACAAAGAAGCACAAAGCGGGGGGGGCAAGACAGAGAGCAAAAAGAATCATTGCTATGTCAAAGAAAAAGAATTCCATGGGGCAGCTTTGAAAATAAAACAACACAAAGGCCAGTTGCTTTTACATGTTATTAAATTACATTAATTCCCTCTGATATTGCCATGTATCGTGATTTCTTAGTAGAAAAAGAGGAGAATAACTTCTAGGGGGCAGGAATTATTAGCTTATTCCTACCTTCACTTTTTTCCTGCAGCACTCTGGACAACTGATTCACAGCTTCATCTACATGGAGACCGTGCAGATCCAACACATTCATAGGCAACAAGGAAGTATTTACTTTCTCAAAGATTTGCACAGCAGCAGCATGGTTGGCTTCTTTCATCTTCTGCTCATGAAGGTGACCCTTTATTCATAAGCACAGCAACTATTACACACCGAGACATAATCTAAGCTCCACGCTGGTCGTTGGGTTCAAAACGACAGTACTGGCAGGGTGCTTTTAGCTCACAGTTTGAAGCAGTAAAATTTATAATCACAACAGAACTTCTGGAAGAGGCTCAGTGAGACCTACTCACACGGAGATTTCATGAAATCTTTTCTTAAGAAACTACTCAAAGCTGGCACAAAGAAGAAATTATAACAAAAGCCTTACAAGAAAGAAAAGAAGCCAGAAAAGGCACAAAACCATAAGGTCTTTACATAAGCTAAAAAGTTACACTCCATGCTGATTTTCAGATTTATTATCCTAACAATGGAATTTTATTTTCTGAAAGTATTTTGCTAAATATTTAATGAAACAATGTCAGAGAAACTGCCCAACAGCCCAGGAAAAACCTGCTGAGTGTTATAGTTGAGGTTAATTCTTCTGAACGCAATCCCTAAAAATCAGACAAGCCAAGGGCAAACACTTTTTTTTTTTTTTTTTAAATAGTTGCCTATTATATCTCCTAATATTTTTGACAGATCTTTTATGATTGACAAGGTCAACACAGTCCTTATTGGAATTAGGGGCAAGGAGCAGTACAGGGTTATTCACACCACACAGTGAACAAGTACCAACTATTTCCCATGAACCTTGCAGTGATAGTATCTGAAGCAACAAATTATGTCTTTGAAGATCTCTGTAGGCACAGTCTGAAAAGGAATGGAAGACTTAACTCCAGGTATTGGACTGACAAGGGCTCAAGAGAACAGAAGCGACAGTCTGTCTTATACTTTCTTAAAATGGATCATCTGAAGTGTATTAGTGTAAGACCAGAGACACCAGTCCCGTAACTCTCACTTGCAGAGGATTCCCAAGACAGGCTAAGGCCACCAAGCATAAAGTATTTTTCATGAATAAAGGTAGCTTAGTTTGCCTTTTTATTACCTAAAAGAAAATATATAATAAATTTCCAGGTTGCACTTGTCGTTATGGCTAAGAATGAAAGACAGACAGGACTTGAAATTACATTTCTATTTAAAATCATGCAAACCTTTGTTTAGAATCTCTCCAAACTTCAACAATATATAAACAAAGAACATAAAGAGTTCATTATAAAGACTGATAATCAATATTTCCTACATGCATACTAACAATCTAAACATTTAGAGCGACGTTATACCAATTGCATGAAAGCTTTTTTAAGATAATAAGCAAATTCAAGTGATTCATTATTACATTTTTGTTCCGTCATAATGCAACTCATAGTTTAGAATTAAATGCTTCTATACCGTGAATTCTTACCAATTTTTTATATGCTATTAGATCAGGGAAACGCTACGGCCTTTGAAGATATTTGTAACAGAATTTTTAAGAGTGGTCTGAATGAAGTGTGGTTGGAAGGATGTCTTGTGAAGGCACCAAGAAACCAAAGTACAGGAACAGATATAAGAACAGCTGATATTTATAATCAAGAATATGTTCAACAGCAATCATCAACAGTAATCAAACTGGTATATACCGAGAAATGTGCTTGAGTCAAGACCAGAGAGCCTGTGCTCCAAGGCCAGAGCACACAAGACTGATCAGCAGCAGATCCACACTCCAAAACCAGATGGATGGCAAAAAGCATGGCATACCACATGTTTATCCCAACCCAAGACAGACTGTAGTCATAAAGATAGTCAGGATGAGGAAGCAAAGACAACAGGCAGCAGTGTTGCCCAAGTTTTATGGAGGATGAAGCAAGCAAGATTCTGAGGCAAAAGATCACATCTTAATACCTGTCTGACTCCTAAAAAGTACAAAAGACATCTAAAAACAGTTCATCGCCAATTAAGATGAACCCAAGGGACATAAGAAGAGTTAGAAAACTGATGTTTGTTGCAGCCCATGTCACACATGAGTGAACCTGGCCAGATCACACAGACACAAATCCTGGTGCTTACAAGTACGTGGATGCGAGAGAGATCTATGAGAAAATGAGCATGTGTGACTAAGCACTAAATATCATCTTTCATAGAATAGAATCATAGAATAGTTTGGGCTGGAAGGGACCTCTAAAGGTCATCTAGTCCAACCCCCCTGCCGTGGGCAGGGACATCTTCAATTAGATCAGGTTGCTCAGAGCCCCATCCAACCTGACCTTGAATGTTTCCAGGGATGGGGCATCCACCACCTCTCTGGACAACCTGTGCCAGTGTTTCACCACCCTCAGCGTCAAAAATTTCTTCCTTATAGCTAGACTACATCTACCCTGCTTTACTTGAAAGCCATTCCCCCTTGTCCTGTCGCAACAGGCCCTGCTCAAAAGTTTGCCGCTGTCTTTTTTATAAGCCCCCTTTAAGTACTGATAGGCTGCAATAAGGTCTCCCTGAAGCCTTCTCTTCTCTAGGCTGAACAAC